GTTCGAGCATTTCGACTGGTAACTGGCGAATGACACGCGTGATGTTTTCCTCCAAGGTCTGAATCGAAGCGGGTTTGTCGCAGCGGGGTGTGAAAAAGTCTAACGGTGTGATATCACACGATCTTGGTGGCCAATCGACCGGCCCAAAACGTGAAATTATGTGCTCGCCGAAATGTTCTCTCAGTAAATCCATTGATTGATGCGATGTGTGGGAAGTGGCGCCGTCTTGCTAAAACCAAATGGCGTCGAGATCACGAGCTTGAATTTCAGGCATCAAATAGTCGGTTATCATGGCACGATAACGGTCGCCATTGACGGATACGTTCGCACCTGCATCATTTTTAAAGAAATATGGACCGATGATTCCACCGACCCACAAACCACACCAAACCGTTATTTTTTCTGGATAAAGTGGCAGTTTTTAAATCTCTTCAGGTTGTTCTTCGTCACAAATGCGGCAATTTTGTTTGTTACATACCCATTGAGCCAGAAATGGGCCTCATCGCTAAACAAAATTTGCCTCGAAAACGTCGGATCTTCTTAGAACTTTTAAGGGGCCCATAGAGCGAAGCAATGTCGTTTGGGAAGGTCGAGAGGCTTCAGTTGTTGCACAAGCTGTATTTTGTACGCTTTCAATTTAAGATCTCGACGTAAAATGCGCCAAGTCGTTCCATACGTCAGTCCAAGTTGCTGCGAACGGCACCGAATCGACTCTCCACGGTCTTCGTGTACACTCTCAGCTACGGCCACTATATTTTCTTCACAGCGTGCTGGACGTGGTCTATTCAGTCGAATATTATCCAATAATGAATGCTGGGTCTCAAAATGGGTGATGGTGTTGCGAATAGTACGCTCAGTAGGCCGATTATGTTGACCATATGTTGAGCGAAGTGCACGAAACACATTCCTCACAGAACGTGAATTTTCGTAATAAAGTTGAACGATTTGTAAACGTTGTTCAGGCGTAAGTCTTTCCATTATGAAATGCCAAACAATACTAAACAAAACTAACATCACAGCATGACACGACTCACACGTGATCTGTCAAAAAAAGGCTATTTAAAAAAGTATCTCTACTTGAATCACCCATTATTATGACGCATACTTGAATTACGTATTGTACGTATCAAAGGCATCCCGGTCCCTTTAGCGTACTTGCGAAAACCAAGAATTCGTATACATCACTCAAAAGTTCACCAGACACGATATTAAAGAAATTATTTTTATTTATTTGCCTGAGTTGCCACGCTTGGCAGACTGGTTGGCAACCGCAGGTTATTGTTGTTTAGTTGTTATTATGAAGACACTGCTGCCTGTCGCTGCTTGCCTGGTAGGTTTCCTTCTGTCGCCTCTTAGGACAACCATGAGATGATATGGGTTTTGAATATTCCAGCACTGCTACTAAATAACGGTTGCCCCCCCCTATCCATATCCTCCTGTGAGGCAATGAAATGAAAAGCAATTATAATTATTTGATCGACTCTACACTACTTAGTGTATATGAAATAACGTTGTTAAGTCAACCTTATTAATTATGGTACCTTATAACTAGGTATTGCGTTTGAACCAATATTTCAACATTTGTGCCAAAGGAAAATTGTTAATATTCATGCTTAGATGAAGCGTGACTGTATTATGTTTCTACTGCAGATCAAAAACCAAAGGAGATGAGTCCCTAAAAGGAGCAGCTGTTCACAATTATGGCGCATATGGCAGCCATCTCTCCTACATATACGTATATATTTAGATATGTAGCAAAACATAATTGATGAATATTATTAAAGTAGTTACAAATAATTTAATTTACACATTAAAATATTTATCGACTTCAACACACCTTGTTGTACATGGACCTTATGTCGAGGTTTTATGCAACTTAATTTATTCATGTTACTATGATGTTACCTCATTTTAGGTTGGTTTTATTTTGAATCAATATAAGATATTAGTTTTAAAGAACAGAAACATTTTATTCGCTACTTATGTCACTAATTTACTCTATATTATAACACAAAATAGAATGAAAACAAGCTGCAAGCCCTTCGACACCTTCAAACAACTTCAAACAAGAAAGACCACAGCATTGTCATTCCTGAGGACCTGACCTGAAGATAAAATGCCTTACACTTTGAAAATGAACACAGCAGTGGCTGCTTAGCGGCAGTATGGTAGGAGATTGGTTCTAACCCAGATATACTGCTGAGCAAAAAGGAACTCTACCATCAGTGCCCACAATTGCTATGGGGACAAAACAGGGGACTACTGAAAGATACTCTTGCAACAACAATCTTAAAACAAAAATGAATGTTCCATACCAAGTTCAAAAATTTTAAGAATACTTATTGCCTTTGCAAAGGGCAAATAAGCATGCAGTTCTCCTGATGGAAAGTGACTATCATCGCTCGCGAGAACTACTGCAACACCAGGAGAATTGCAGGTACATTATAGGCCTTTTAAAAGAGAGTAGGCTCTATATATTCTTGAAGGTCCGAAGTCATTATGGCCCAGAGAATTTCTGATGGATTTCTCTCTTACTAGTGTCATTTCACACATATTTTTACAAGGGTTCCATGGCAAAATACTATACCCATAAAATTATGTTGTAAAAGCATCTAAATGTGTGTAATTTAATTTAAGCATAATAAATATTTTTAACTTGAACAGCAAGCAGAACTCTAATATGTACTATAAGAGACAGAATGATTTTTCAATAACCCATAATGTCCAAGGTAAAAAATACATGGTAAATTTAAACATATTTTGGTAAAATTAAATAAAAACATTTTAATTATTTTAATTTTAATGTAAGATTTTGTAATCCAATATACTATTCTATCATAAAAAATATTCGGAAGTAATATTATGTATTTATTTATGTATTTATTTTGTTTTATTTTTATGCCCAACTCATCCATCCAGTTTTGGTTTTAAGTTATATGCACAATGCATAACACACATCAGTAATGCTTACAATTACTGAAACTGAAACAAGAAATTTATCACACAATCGCCCCTACCCCTAGTCCTCCACTTAGTCGAAGGGTGTTTCACCGTACGATCGTGTGTACGATCCCACCCGCATGCATCTTCAAATGAGTAAATTTTAAAAGTTATGACAAAGTTTGACGTAAGATATAATTAATTATTCATAATATTTATTAAGAGGCTTCAGAAAAAGAGCATTTACCTCAGAGATGCAATAAATGAAGAATAATGTAGCGAAACAGCTTAGGCCGGGAACAAATCCTTGCACAACGACTGAATTCTATGGACACGAACTACACAAACACAAGCAGTTCACTTTTGAGTAAACAAAACATGTGTAGAAATAATATCACAAGCAAAATGTGTCAAAAACAGACCAAAAGTCAGTTACAAAACAGATTTTTTAACATTTCCCAAAATTAGTAAGAGCACACAGTTAACACGACCTACGCATAAAAAATCTTTACAAAACTGAAAAACATACATACTAGGCGCTAGGCAGCGCTACGATCGTAATTTGGCGCACGCGCTGTCAAAAAGTAGGTAAAAAACAAAATTAGATACTTGGTATTTGAGCACTACGTTCACCGTGAAGAAATATGTACTTTTTATTTAAAAGACATAATATTCTAAATAATTATAATATTTAATATGGAAATAAAAATTTGCGGAGTAATTTAATGTTATTCTTTTTTTCACTTTGTAAATAACTGAAAATATGAAACGTGGTAAAGGCTTTTTATCATATTTTAAAACTTTGCTCATTAATATTCATGGTATGAATGATATTTAAAATATTTATTTCATAGCATTATATATATAACATATAAGATAGTAAAACAATATAATACGACACTGTTAGTTATATGAATTGTTTTTTTTTTTTAATGAAAGAACTATTAAAAATACAATTAAATTTAGAGCATTGATTGCGTAGGATCAAAACAATAATAGATGTTGAGTTCGTCCTAATCAATCTTAGATATAGTGCTTGTACACCGGCAAACCTTGTGTACAGTTGTATGGATTATTTTTTCGGTATTTAAGGATTTTAGGGTATTTGTTACATGGTTTTGACATTCAATTCAATTTTTAAAAAAAATCGTATTATGCTGATTTGTTAAGCTGTCGTAAAAACCTTCCAAAAACTTTGCAATGTAATATGCGTCAGCAAATTCCGAAGAATTTTTTGAATAAAATACACATCAGATAAAGCTGTATGCTCTAAAACCTTTGCCATTGTGACGACCATTTAAAAAAGTCGTTATAGCTTATATATCCTCAGGATTCCACACTTATGGGTTATTATTTACCCTTAAATTTAGGGGGTAGATAAATGGGATTGGACTTTTTTTAGGGGCTTTATATTTTAAGAGACTTTTATATTTTTTCCACTCATGCTGATTTTTGTTTAGAAGTGCAGCTGGCTGTAAATCTTATAAATTTTTTTTCAAAAATCGGGTTATATGTTTTACATTAACTATCAATTGCTTTTTGCAATTTGTTGTTACCTATCGAAATGCCACCAAGTGTAATGTTGATCTGATTCGCATTGCAACGAAATAGGGCATCATTTATAACATTTAATCCATTAACTATAAATAAAATATTTGTTTATTTAATATCCAAATGTATGATTTTAATACGTTGGAAGCATCAGAAAAAACGAAAGAATATTATAAATATTAAATAATTTATATATAAAGAACATTGCATAGCATTGTACTTATTTTTAGAGGATTTCCAAGTAAATAAAGGTGATTTTAGGGGTTTTGACATTTAGGGGTAAATATTTATTGGAGTTGGTAGCACTGTATTACATTTTAATTTGATAATGGCCTATATGTCCTAAACCTAAAGGTCTAGATACCAGGCCATAAACAATAAACTCCAAAAAAACATTAATTTGATAATTTGTAAATAAATAATACGTCACTCTACATACAACTTTATAATTTGTCCGTCATTCTACGTAAAGTTTAGTAAATTTTGCTGTTATTTTATTTAATTTTAAAATGTTAGAATCTGTAAAGTGTGTGATATTAATTCTATCAGGAAAAGGAGGTGTTGGAAAATCTACAGTGAGCACTCAATTAGCTCTTACGCTTAAGGAAAAGGGATTTAAGGTTAGATGTTATCATTATAGTGTAGTCATACCGAGAGACTAATTACGTTTAAAAAACCAGAAATGTTAATTTTCAATAACCTTTTATATAAAAACATATAATGGTCAATAAATATAAACAGGTTTCTTCGTAAAAGTTTCTATAAGACTTAAGGCCGAGCTACTTGCAACCATCTTTTTGTCTTTTTCCATCTTTTATCCCATCATAGATTTGAAAACCAATTTAATAAAAATCTTTTTGGATTTTACTGAGAGCACATTATCATTATAGGTTGGGCTACTGGATGTGGATCTGTGCGGCCCGAGTGTACCTTATATATTAAATTTGGAAACAGAAAACATCCATCAGGGTGCTGAAGGGTGGATTCCAGTGTATCTTGATAAGGATCAAAAATTGGGTGTTATGTCTATTGGATTTCTTTTAAAAAATCGTAATGATGCTGTTGTTTGGAGGGGACCCAAAAAAACTGCCATGATTAAACAGTTTCTTGAGGATGTGTGTTGGCAAGACCTTGATTTCTTAGTGATAGACACACCTCCAGGTACAAGATTGTATTAGTAAACAGCTTAACTTTGAATTCATATGATTTTGACTGATATTTTACTAATAATTAATGATCACGTGAGCTTAATTATTAGATAAAATTAGAAACATGATTTCACAGGTACTTCAGATGAGCATATTACAGTCATGGAGAACCTTCGTCAAGTGCCACAATGCTCAGCCATATTGGTTACTACACCACAGGAAGTGGCCATCGAGGATGTTCGAAAAGAGATAACTTTTTGTCGTAAAACTGGCATTCCAATTCTTGGAATCATTGAAAATATGAGTGGGTGAGTATAACCACAGAGTAAATAATAGTGCAAGAACAGAAGGATCACTCTCTGATTGCAAACTTGCAAGTTTAAACCTAGTTACAATGTCTATAGTGTTCATAATACATTGCACGCCTCGGATACAAGCTTCGTTAAAATAGCCTACCGATTGTTGAGGGGTGTGTATTAAATTAAAATGCACCTTACATCTGTATGTGAGAGTCTGTATCACTTAGCACATTACACACCTTTGTTAAGGCCGCTCCTACTATAGAGTTAGGTGTTGTGAGAAAACAAATTGAATCCTTTGATATTAGTTGGTAGAATACACTGAGGTGTCATGCAAATATAGTGATTTGCTGATAATAAGAACATTATTGTTCAATGTGAGGAAGGTTAATAGGCAACATCGAGAAAAATTAAGATTATGACAATGTGAATGTCATTGAAACTCAGATAATTTACCTACTTACCACTTTCTGTTCCACATTTTTGCAATTTACAAACATGTGACATGCGACGGCATTATTCATGACAGAGTGGCAATTAGAAGTGCTGCTATTTTTAATCTCTTTCTTTTAATCTTGTATTAGTTGGCAGTAACTTGTATACTTACACTGAACCATTTTTAAGGTCATTGGCATTATACATGAAAAAATCGAATACTGCGAAGCTGTGGTGGGGTCGCTAATCAAATAATAAATATGTAACTATGGTGTCAGTAACTAGGTACCTAATTATCTAGATCTACCTATAAATAATAATATCTTACCTTTTGGTATCCTTAGGAACAGTAAAGAATGAAAAGTCGACATTCCTATTGTTATTTAAGCACCTGCATGCTATGCAGTACTTTTGGCTTTTTGAGAGGCCATACTTGAATACAAACTCAAAAATAAATGTCAAAAGTGCCTAAATACATATAAGAGAAAAAAATACTATACGTATGAGAGAAAAAAATACTTTTTTGTTAACGTAAGGCGCGCGTCAGCTCGAGCGCGCGCGTGATAACCTCACGGAATTAGTCCCTTATGTGGGGCGTGCAGCGTAGGTATATTTTCAGGCCTTAAACGCGGAGTGAGACAGGTCTGGTATAACACAAAAACATTTGTAAGTTGTAAGGCAATGGCATCAAGATTGCCTCAGCTTAGATGATGTCTTAGTCTAGAAAGCGAAAAAGACAGATTGGTATCGCTACTGCTCTCTTGGGCCAATACCTAGTATAGTATATTACTCTACTATGTAATTGTTTGCCAGCATTCACTTTTATGATATTCGCAGTGCCTTCCGATTTTCCCATAGTTAAAAAATATTACATACTTTTCTAATTAATTCTAAATATGTTTATTGATGAATGACTTGTATGCCATACAAATACTTGTATGTTTGTCATAGTGAAATGTATGTATGTAAACTGCCTCCACTATACACGAGGAAATCCTAGTGTAGGGATAATTAGTTATAACAGGGTTTTATCATAAAATAAATAATTAAAAAAAACTTCCATCCTCACCCAGGACCTAACCATTTTTAAGATGCTTGAGAACCATACTAATCTTGCTCAGACTGATATCATCAGAATAGTGTTGGATGAGATTGAGCCAGGCCATTATTAGTAACCAAATTATAAATTGAGTTATTTTTCTTTAGGTCATTTTGTTCGTAACAAAGTAACATTAACAATTATGTGTAAAGTTTATTACACATAAACATAATAATACTGTACCTAGTCAGGTCATAAGTATTGTCACACAGTAAAAACTTTTCTTTTAGAATGCTGGCCACAAAAAAGTTTATTGAATTCGAATTTCGAATTGTTCATGAAAATAAAACTGTATACTTTTTAGAATTTTACTCATTTTTAAATATGGAGTGGACGCTTAAAAAAGACTGTGTTGCAATTATTGCATTGCATCGTTGCAGTTACGCGCCAATTCAAATGTTTGACATACTGAAAAATTTGAATATAACCAAAAGATTCGTTTGTCATACTATCAAACGATACAATGAAGACTCTAGTGTAGATGACAGGTCAAGAAGTGATCGCCTTCGGTCTGTTAGGACTCCAGCAGCAGCTGTGAAGGCGCGAATTCAAAGAAATCCCAAACGTAAGCAGAAACTGGGGTTAAGCAGAACCACAGTGAAAAGGGTGTTAAATGAAGACTTAGGGCTTCGGGCATATCGAAGAAAAACAGGACATTGTTTGAATGCTCGTCTAATGGACCTGAGACTGAAGAGATGCCACGCTTTGTTGAAGCGGTACGTGGGAAAAAAATATCGGGAAATTCTTTTTTCGGATGAAAAAATTTTTACCGTAGAAGAGAGCTACAACAAACAAAATGATAAGGTGTACGCACACAGTAGTGAAGAAGCGAGCAACCGTATTCCGCGTGTCCAACGAGGTCATTTTCCATCCTCGCTCATGGTATGGTTGGGAGTTTCTTATTGGGGCTTAACAGAGGTACATTTTTGTGAGAAAGGTATAAAAACGAATGCAGTTGTGTATCAAAATACAGTCCTGACGAACCTTGTGGAACCTGTTTCTCATACCATGTTCAATAACAGGCACTGGGTATTCCAACAAGATTCGGCGCCAGCTCATAGAGCAAAGAGCACACAAGACTGGCTGGCGGCGCGTGAAATCGACTTCATCCGGCACGAAGACTGGCCCTCCTCCAATCCAGATTTGAATCCGTTAGATTACAAGATTTGGCAACACTTGGAGGAAAAGGCATGCTCAAAGCCTCATCCCAATTTGGAGTTACTCAAGACATCCTTGATTAAGGCAGCCGCCGATATTGACATGGACCTCGTTCGTGCTGCGATAGACGACTGGCCGCGCAGATTGAAGGCCTGTATTCAAAATCACGGAGGTCATTTTTAATAAACTTTAGTGTCATAAGAATCTATGTTTTGTTAAGTTCATTTTGGTATATAAATGGTTACATAATGAATAAACTTGTTTCAATTATTTTATATTAAACATGTGACAGAATTTATGATCTGACTAGGTATACTTGTAATGTGTACTTATAGTTGATTATTTTTGTTTCTTGTTGATTTTAAAAACTTTAAAAGTTTGAAAGGCTAATTATTTAAAAAATATTTTCACTTATTTCAATCAATTTCGTCATCATCATCATCATTATTAATGTCTACTGCTGAACATGACATTCCTTGGGGTGAGGCTACAAAACATGGTCCTGAGCCACTTGCATCCATTGACAATAAGAGGTTACCCTACATTTCACTTCCAATATTGATACAATTAATACAATTATTCATTATAATGCACAAACATTTTCATAAATACAGTATAAATACAATTTATATTTATATTTTTACAAATATAATATTTATTAAATATGTTAAGTGTTTTGTATTACAGATTTGAAAAATTATTAAGAAAATAATAAAACGGCAAAATTTCTTTACAGGTTTCAATGTCCAACCTGCAATGAATGTACCAACATATTTTCAAGTGGCGGAGGAAAAGCTCTGGCCGACGTTGCCAAAGTTCCTTTCTTAGGGAGTTTACCCCTTGATCCTCGAGTCGGCAAACTTGCGGGGCAGGGTGTTGCTGCTGTAAAAGAGCTTCCTGATTCAAATACAAGCAAAGTGTTTAACCACCTCGTAACTGTGTTGACTGAATCAACACAGAATGGTTCCTGAAAATCAATATTCCTATTGTATTTAAGACTTGTTGACTAGTAAGTAAAGTAAAACAAAGAAATCTAGTGATTGTTTAAGAAAAAACCTATAATGATTGAAGTAATTTTTGTTGAAATATTGGTAGAAGAGTGTTAAGATATACTGACTTTTCATATTTTTTATAGGATAATGAAGACAAACGAGCACACAGTCCACCTGATGGTAAGTGGTTGTTGTGGCCAATAGACATCTACATCTATCCTCAATAAAGAATCAAAATGCAGATGCGTTGTCACCCGTGAGGACTAAGATGGAATGCCTCGTTTCTAGTAAAAAGAGTCTTCAGTTCTCTACACTCACCACACAAAACAGCAGTGTTAAGCTGCTATTTTACACTGGTATTCTGTGAGAGCATGGTCCTTCCCCAGTTGAGCCAAACCATTCGTCTACAACTATACCAGTAATATAACTGTGGCATGACTCTACCACATAAAACATGGTAGAGAGGTACTATCAAACATAACAATGTAATTCAATCAATTAATTTAAAATACACAAATAGGAGAGGAGATTAAAATATACTAAGCACATGAGCTCATCTATTTTATTTTATTGATACCGATATCTCATCAACCTGTTGAAGTACTTTGATAGCCAACACTACTCAAATTTTTTATTGCAAATGTACATGCTGATTTAAGATGAATGAGCAATGTCTGAGATTATATTTTGAGGACGTGTAAAATTCACAACATGTACCGGAGGAGTGTGGTAAGATCTTCTTACTTCATTACATGCTCCTAAGTGAGAGAAGTTTTGACATGTTGTTAAGCAATTACTATTAACAATTAATTATATGGCTGTGCAAAAAATCACTTTGGTAAATTAAATCCCAAGCTTTGTCTTTAAAATTGCATAATTTTGTATCTTAAATAATCACACTCAAGAGCCATTCGTTATTTATGTACATAAATAAACATTTTGATTAAATAAAATAATTCATTTTGTGTGAACCTTACATTTGACATACACTCTAATAATTTTTATTAACAATCTAAACATATTATATAAATTTGTAAACTGAGTATGTTAATAAATTGATATAATATAATATATTTGATTTCACTTTTAAAAAGATAAAAAATAGATTATGGGAAACAAGAGATGGGAAACGCGAAACATAATATTATATTTGAAAACTGGTTGGCCCTAATAAAGTGGTAGATCACTTACACTCTTTTCTCTCCAGAATATCCAGAAAAAAAGTATTAATGAAATCAACAATTTCTTTGCTAATAAGGGAAGGAATCTGGCTAAGGATGTCATAAACTCCGCACATATACTGAATTGATGTGTGTGAAAGTGATGAGAAGCACTGTGTCAATAGATATAGGCCAACTAAATAAACAAACATTTAATCAATTTCCTAGAAGGAAATTATCATCGTTCACCAGCTCAAAATTCCGGCAAAGCACATCAACGAACAACGCGGTACACGTGTTTGCGAACCATGTTTGATGATGTTCTTTGATTTGGCAAAGGCGTTTAACACAGTCCCTATCCCAAATCTAATAACTTAGCTGGAAAAAATTGGTGATAGAGGCTTACCTTATTAAATGAAACTAATTTGGGGGGGGGGGGGGGGTTGACATCCTGATTGAGCTTTTGAATATTAATTTTAGATACGATCTACGCAGAAAGAACTTACAGTATCTTGAAGTCTTGTAGTGGTATGCTTGGGTTTAGTTTTCTTAATTATAGGATCCCAAATAGATGGAAGAACCCATCCATCTTCTCAATTGAAATTAGGATGTTTTTTTTAATTTCAATGGCCTCGCGAATCCTCCTTGGTAGGAATTGTTGTTCTTTTGCGAGGATTTGTGGTCTATCAAATCTAATGTAATGGCGGGGTTGATCTCGTACATGGTCACAGACTGCAGACTTCCGGAGACGCTGCTAGACACCGATTCCTAAGAAGGATAAAGAATTAAAAAAACATCCTATTAACCATGGGTGCTGTAAAGCTCCCGAAACTTTGGAAATTAAAAAATTAACGTTAATCGCGATAAAATCCGTAAAATTAGTTTAATTTAATGTGTAGTATTCGCGTAAATATAAGAAATCATTAAGAGGCTATCTCTACAATTACCTGAGTGGAAGAAAGCCGAGACTTGAAATAGCGATTAAGATAAGTAAAAAATAAGACAAGTAAATCGGTCATATTGCCACTTGAATGTTTGCTTCGAAGATTGGATATAGTGAGACCCTTCAGCTGTAGAGCAATATGATTTACATACATGGGCTGATCATCATAGTCAGCCCTTGTATACAAATTTGAGAAACATTTCTCATTCATCATGCTATACTAACCATTTAACGCATTTGCGGGGTGTATTCGATATTATTAGTCCCACGCTGGGATAACATTATTTACATGGTAGAGCCATGCTGCTGCTACATCTATACATATAATAAAAATGTAAATAGCAGATGTCTGTACATTTTATATTTATATAATAAAAGTGATTGAGAGGTACTAAAAATAAGTAATTAAATACATTTCTACCATTTTTAGAATTTTCTGTCTGTCTGTCTGTCTGTCTGTCTGTTTGTTTGTTAACGTATCACGTATAAAGTACTAATTTATATCACAAGAATTGTTAAAGAAATTATAAAGTGTATCTTCAGATTACATTTAGTCTTTATTTCATTAAAATTAGTTCATTCCATCTTAAGTTATGATAAATATTCTGAAGTATGGCTACGAAGTATAGGTACGATTTGTTCAATGGTGGCATTCGTTGAGTCATCAAGTACATTTTAAACTAATATCATATTATAAATCATAATTAAATTATGTAAAATAATGTTCTATAATGATATAATTATACCTAAAACGCAGTAAACAAAAGTATTATATAAAGAACGTAATAAATGTATACAAAAATATATTAACCTTAATCTAAATCTATAGTACAATAATTAACTAATTTCATCGATAGATGGTGATGTTGCACAAATGTGATACAAAAAAGCAGGTTAAGGTTTTTTTCCTGTAGAGTTTAGATGTGTTTCACATTTGCTTCTAATCTTTATATTACACGCTGCCGTACTGCGTGTTGACAATCTCATTTATTTTTTTACCGCCGAGTACTCTATGTGGTAAATCAAATTTCAAAAGAGCTATTAACAATTTCGTTAATAGTTCTTTTAACGAAATTGTTAATAGCTCTTATTATATTATATTAATTAGGCATCAGCGACTAATTAATATAATATTACCCCGTTATAAGTTCTTTTATGTTTTTATTGTATCAATCTCTTATTTTTAGAATTGATGTTTACAGCGCCATCTCTCTTTAAATCTATACATATAATAAAATGGTGATAACAACATGTTGTCTGTTACTGTACATTGTATGTACATTATGGGGATTGAAAATCATTATATAAGTACATTTTTATAATTTTTAGAATTGTACTGTCTGACGGTCTGTCTGTTTGTTTATGAACGCATGATGTTTTGGGTAAACATATTATTTTCAATGAAATCCTTAAGAAAATCATAAAGCGTATCATCAAGTTCATTTAATCTTTGTTTTATTAAAATTGGTTAATTCTATCGAAAGTTATGACTATTAATTTGAAATGTAGGTTCTAATTTGTTTAATGGCGCCATAAAATCTCAGAAATAGTAATAAAAAGATACGTGTGTAAATAAACGTTCTATTATAATATATTTATACTTAAAACACAGTAAAAAGAAATATGTTTTCCTTAAATTAAAAAAAGAATGTTTTCTCACAAAGAACGTAATAGATGACGTTGTACAAATTGCAACCTTTTCTGAATTGCGGTATTAAGATTTTTCGCCGGTGAATTGTATTGAGACTCACTGAAGAAATATATCTCCATGAGTCCGATCAAGCTGTAAGAGCCGTGTAGGCTAACATCACAAACATTAACAGAAACAAAAATCAGAAAGAAAAAATACTACGTACGCCCAAGTTATGCAACAAAACCCGACTAAAAGTAGCAAAATTGCAATAAAATGTGGTGATATTGTTTTATACCCAGAATCCCTCTAATACCAAATAACTTTCGTTTCAGTTTTAAGATAGGGATGATCGATGTTGCAGATGCAGAAACATCGACGATGACATCGATGTTGCAGAAACATCGATATTGGCATCGATAGCTCAACATCGATGTTCGATGTTTAGCATACTCAAAACATCGATGTTGACCATTATCGATGTTTTTTGTATATATGTAGATACTTACACATTGTTTCAAAATTATGTGGGTATACACAGCAAGGGAAAAGTAACAACTTGGATATCAATTTACGTAGAATAGTTATTATGCAACAACCGACAACGACACTACAAATAAAGCGAAAGCAGTGACCATTGTGACATTACAGGTGACACTTGACGATTAAGTTTGACACCATAAATGAATTTTTTTTAGGTTAACGATGCGTTTAGGAATTCTGAATTATTTAACATTTTTAATCTTCCGAGCAGATGCAAGATTTATTTGATATTGATTTCGCGGGTTCGCATTGTTTGCAAGTTCCTAATTATCGATTATTGGTTCATTGACAACGTTGTTTCCATGTTTGACATGTGTCATGTTTAATTTTTAGCATCGACGATCATCGAATAGCTGAGTGGGAAAGACGCTTAAAATAGGGATGTATTTTAAGAGTGTTTCCCACTCAGCGTGTGTTATGCGATGATCGTAAATAAAGCGCAAGGTCAAACTTTACGCATTGCAGGAGTGGACCTCAGTACTGATTGTTTTGCACATGGCCAACTATATATTGCTTTTTCCCGCGTTAGTAGTCCCCGTAACCTTTTTCTGTACGTCCCGGCTAAGTCTACTTCTAACGTCGTTTACACAGAAGCTCTATTATAAACGACTTAGAACTTTGAGCATATCGATTTATTTTGTTACCACTTATTGATACAGTAATGATATAAATCGTTTGATATTCTCTTACCCTAAACGTCAAA